ACTCCTCTTCTGATGAGACTGTCTTTCCAATGGCATGCCTGTTGTTACTGCTTCTGCACAAAAGGGAAATGAAAATACAAAGACTCCCTTCACTGTGTGCCAAGACTAGCTGCCAGTCTCTCTCCACAGACCATGCCTGCCCCAGATCCTAGCTGCCATGCTTCAACCCTCCTGGGTCCCTTCAGGTATTTTTCAGTGAATTGAATTTGAGGCAAAGACTGTATTTCCCACCTACTTAGTCATATCTTCCTTTAATCCTTCGAGAAAGGCAACAATCAAGCATAAGATTAGGTTTATCATCCCCAAAGAAAACCACCTACTTACCACAGAGGACTACTCAATGCTCAATTGTCACTTGGCAAATCATTCTTTGAGAAAGTCAAACATAGGATACACATCCATGAAGGATCCTGAGACTCACAGCGAGCATTGGCACAACACTCCATAGTTGCAGGTCTTCCAATTACAGAAGTCACAATCCTCCACTTAAAAGTATTTTTCTTCTTCGAGTGAGAGAAGCAGAACAGTGTGCTAAAATAACAAAGCTTTGTGCCAGAGGTAACAGCGCTCAGCTATTCTAATCCTGAAGGTAGTAGAAAAGTACTTAGCTATCGGATACTATTTAGCTTCAGAAGGAAACACAGGAGATCTAACAAGAAGTTGGGCACTCAGGAGTCAGCAAAGACATTGCCACCAAACAAGAAGCAGGAGAGAGGAATCCTGCCTGCCAGGTGTGTTCTTCAGTTGACTGTAGTTGTCACTGTCCCTGTATGTAAACATCTGGAGACATCCAAGAGAGGTTTAAAAGCCACTTAAAACTTAGGCTTTCACATCGAAATGCTAAAGCAAGCTTGGATACAGCATCCATAAAAATAGGCAACCTCCAAGGATCAGGAGTACTTCCAGTGACGAGTTCTGTCTCATCCTCAGCTCAACCACATTCAGCAACTAAATTAGTCAGCTGAAACTTTAATAAGAAATTAAGTAGAAATGATGGAGATCCACAGCCCAATTTTTCAGGACGACACCTCACTCACAGGACTTCTTACTGCTTTGCCTCCTTCATCTTTCTTGGCACTTGACACTGAGGTAAATTAGCACAATGAATTTGTGGCAAACACTGCAACGAACACACCAAAATTACGACAGACTCCAGAGAAGAACATGAACAATTAGATTGAGGAGACAGCTCTGGATACCAGCCATAGCCTAAAATAGTTCCAAGAACATAAGGAGACAGCAGCGTAGTCCGTGAGATGTGCATGTCCTTCCTTCCACCCCAGCCAGCAAAAGGAACATCCCCACAGAAAGCACCTTCAGCTTCTGACGGTGCACTCCAAGGAGGAGCTGGATC